GTTGACAGCAAAAAGAAATGTATTCCGATATGGATGATATGTGAAAGAAATCTGTTTCCTCTCCTGGACCATCAGGCAGAACAACGTGCTGTCTTGGTTTGGTTCATTGCCACGTCAAATACTGTACCAGGAATAACCGATTACAAGATTAATCTTCATTTCTCCAATAGAGGAATAGCAATTATTATGTTACGGACAGCACTTGCATCAAGGAACCAAGTCTGGATTCACACACTGTCCTCAACCTGAGCTACAATTGCTTTTACTGTGGCTCTAAAATGAGATGTTTGAACAAGTCTTCAGTTACTGTGGATGACAGCAAAGTGCAGAAAAACAACAATAATAAACAACTGCTGTATACACTTGCCTGCCTGACTTGTCATTGAACTGGAATTCCAATTCTCGCTATGCCAGTTATCAAGAATCAGCAGGCAGGATATCGTGATCGTCACACTGACCCTCATGTTTTCCGATCCTTCACTACTTCAGTTCCGACTCCGTTTATGTTTCGGAGTTTTCTTTTTAAGGTTGCACGAGGTAAAGTGAAATCATGGTAACAAGTGTTTTTGAGAGTGAAACAAATTTAAGTCACAACACACAAGTTAAAAAAACAAAAAAAAAAAAACAAAAAAACAAAACAAAAAAAAACAAAAAAGGTGGGAGCAGTGTTTCCTCTATTCATGCAGAAGTGGTGGGCAGTGAAAGTAAGAAAACAAGCACCACTGCTAAAGAAACTTTGATTTCTTTGCTCATAAACACAAACATGTATAGAGATAATGCTTCAATTTATTAAATGATCCAAATAAAAGCAATTATAACCGAATCTGGGTGTGAAAGCAGCGACACACAAGGAACCGAAATAAGATTAGCCCTAACCACCACCGCTATGAAAACGTACATGCGGAAACACTGGGAAGTAATAAGCATCATACAAGTAAATGCCATACTGTTTCCGTAAGGTGTTCTTTGGGCTACGATACTCATATTTTATAGAAAATGTGTGGTTTGTATACATAAGGAGGTGAGTGCAGCATGTTTGTGTTGTCGTAGTATACTCTTTGTGTGGGATGCTGCTCGTATGTTGGGAATTAACACAGTGGGCCAAGGGAAAGGGGATATACAGACAAGGCAAGACAGGGTAGTGAGGGTGGTGACAACCCTCCCATGATCCTCAGAGTCCTCAGCAGCTGCAGGTCTCTGCTGAAGGCTTGGCTCGCTCGTTCCTGTCCAGCTTTATTGGCTCAGGGAACTCGTTGTACAACTCCACTTCGGTCTCCTGAAGTCAGACAACAGTAAAGAGCGGGGCTCAGGTCAAGTAATATTTTTCAACATTTAAAAAACTGGGTCACACTGCCTACTCAAGGATTTCTTGCCGGCTTCCAATTACCTGTTTAAGAGCGTTGCGTGCAATAGTCTGAAAGGCCTGTTCCACGTTGATTGCCTCCTTGGCGCTGGTTTCGAAATACGGGATGTTGTTCTTACTCTGACACCAAGCCTGTGCTCGCTTGGTTGTTACCTGAAACACAGAGGAGCTGACATTACACTTAGAAACGTCAGACATGTGAGAATGACTTTTACAATAGTAAAATATATTTTACAATAGTTTCATTACTCTACCCTTAAAAGGAACTAATCACACCCACAACATTCCTAGAATGAAAACAAAATCCACCTGTCTGTTCTCCAAGTCAATCTTGTTGCCCAGCACCACAAAGGGGAAATTCTCAGGGTCTCGAGGGCTGGCTTGAATCAGGAACTCGTCCCTCCAGCTGTCTAGAGTCTTAAAGGTGTTGGGTGCTGTCACATCAAACACTAGGACACAGCAGTCAGCTCCACGATAGAAGGCTACACCTAAGGACTGGAACCTTTCCTGGCCTGCTGTGTCCCAGATCTGAGATACAGAATGGAGAGGAAGTAAGCATCAAAGGAGACTACAGGTGAATCCCAATTCCCTTACTTTATTGAGTCTCACTTAACCCAGGAGTCATTCCAGTTCACAATGTTGAAGGAGGTCCCACAGCTCTTATTTCTGCTCTGAGGAGCAAGGAGGCTGCTTGGAGAAGCTATAACCAAGGATATACAAGTGTATCCTTTGCAGAAATCTGTTACGGATTGACACACCCCTTTATTAGAAATCAGTTTGTGCTTGGACACTTCACATGAAGGCTCACAAGAAAAGAACTTGTCATGTCAGTTAAAACACGTTTCCTTGTTCTTCTCTGCTTGCAGTTTCTCCTTGCACCTTTTCCTTGTATTGTGTGTGGGTGGGACTAAGAGGCAAGGATAAAGTGCAAGTGAGGGAAACATGGATGTAATTAGGGGAATTGGGATTCTCCTAAGGTGCATTTATAAGTGCAAGTCAATCTGATCACTGTAAATAAGAAGATCTGCAGTCATTCACTCTTTGTAGCATGTGTGGTATAAAAATGCAGAATAAAAATCAAGATGCACTTAAATATGATTTAGACCCAAAAGAAATAATTAATGTTCTCAGTGTTAAAGCGATGAAACTCATGCAAGTCCATCCTTATTAGTTGATAAGAATCAGCAGGTTTGTGTTATTGCATCATTATCACCTCATTGGATTTTGTGACATTATGTCAGCGTGGCATTCTTGTGTGAATTATTCCCTCAGTACCTGCATTGTGACAAGTCTGTCATCCACCATTACTTCTTTTGTCAGGAAATCAGCACCTATTGTGGCTTTGTACTGGTTACTGAACTTCTTATTCACATACTGGTTCATCAACGAAGTCTTCCCAACACTAGGGGGAAGAAAAACAACAGGAATACACCATTCAGACCACAGGTAGTGCTGGAACAATTGAAAGAGAAAATATAACCAGGATGAAATGACTGAAAATTCTCTTTTTAGAGTGAACATAGCAAACTAGACCCATTACCCTGATAGTTTTCTTTCCACTAAGCCACAAGGCATCACTTGTTATTCTTCTTGTCTTTTCCATTTAGCTTTGAAGCTAGAATTCAACATCACTTACCCAGAGTCTCCGAGAATGATGACTTTGAGTAGTACTTTCTTCCTTGACGTCATTATGCCACAGCTGCAGAGACAAAAAAGCAGATTTAAGAGGAGAAGAAAGCTCCTAACAGACACAGATCAATGCTGCAAACAAGATGGATAAAGCCTTGTGCTTTTGATATGGACCAACGGGTTTCAGTGAAGGATAAGGACTGGTCATGCCTTGAAAAACTTTCAAAAGAAACAGTCCAGTTCTAGGAACAAAACCAGATGTCTCCTACACCTGAGTTCCCTTCACTTCACACACAAACCAAACAACAGTATGGCAATGTGACTATAATAATGTGCTGCACTGCATTGTACAATGAGGCTCCAAATACAATTATTTAAAATAAGAATTCTCTATGCTTTTTTTTCTAGATAAGTTGAACAGTCAGTGCTGAAGATATTGAGATGACATGGCATCTGCTCTCTGCTGTTTTTGTCACCACAGCTGGCTGCTTTTGTTTTGTAATATCACTGCTTCTGATAAACCACTCAATGAAAATGCTGTTCAATTCGCAAATTACACTTACAATTCTTGCACATTTATAAAAGCTGAATATTACAATAAATTGGGGAAAAAACTGGGTACACATCCAGTTACTGAACAACATACTTAATGGGATCCTGGCTTGTGATACAAATAAACAGCACCAACATCTTATCTGTTATACTGTACATGTGCACACATTATAGGCCTAAACTCATCCTTCCTCTCTGGATCCTTTATTTAAATCCAAGATACCTAATAAATGTCTCTTAACCTTTTGCATTATATTTTCACATAACTTCATGCAAATATGAGTATTAATCACTGATGCAAACCTCTGCAATTGCAGTCACTTTTCTGTTAAATAATGATCTGGTTCATCACATGCACATATTATTTTTGTACTAAATTCCAAAACTCGTTATCTCTGGGCCTGCTCTACACATCACTAAGTACTTCTGCCTTTAGCCAAGTATGCGTTTTGCAATAATGAGCCACCTCATATAACTGTAATGATCAGAGTCCAAATTCCACCACCGACGGGATTTAAATCCTCATTCCAATAGGTTGGGCATTTGAGAAAGAATTAGAGAAAGAAAAAAGGTTTTTGTCTTGTCACCACTTAGGTGAGCAAAAAAAGTCACGGTTTAAATATATATCAGTGCTATTATGAGGTCAAAAGCAGCACAGCGCTGTCGGCGTGGCTCTCATAATCTACACCCCATGACACTGTGTCAGGGACTGATCACATGGTTTAAAACACAGGACTAACGGAACCATGACTTGGCAAGCATGATTAGCTCAGGGAGTAGATACGGTGAATTCAATTCACATGCCGGCATATGACAGCTATGATCAGTCTATCGACCAATCTGGTTGTAAACGCGTACAAATGTTAAAATGTAAGAGTCCTATTAACATTTTACCAAAGGAGTATGATAAAACATCCAAAACACTTGCAAAGTATTAGCAAGGAAGAATAAATTGTACAGTTAGAGATGACAAGTTAGACAGATAAATAAGAGAACGATAAAAACATAGTTTAGAGAACAATATCAGTAACAAATGCCTTTTGTAAACGATCAAAGCCAGTCGTTTTGAACACGGTGTCCAGAACCAATTAGGCTACCACATCATGACACTACTTAATTTAAGCTAACGTTTGGTTGGCCAAGCAGGGTTTGTTAGCAAATGTTAAACGGCTAATGGCAGAGGCATTTTTAACAGGTCATTAGCAAAACCAACAACTAAAGTCACCACATACCAGTCTGGGCGATAATCCTGCGGTAAAGATATCAAAAGTGGACTTTTCCTCTGCCTCGGTTGGGAGCGATGGCTAACGCGCAGGCTAGCTAACAAGCTAACAGCTCCTATAAATGTCTGCCGTAAAAAAAGCAATGCGTTTTCGGCGTCGACAGCTAAATTATCTTTAATACCTAGCCTCGCAGCTAACTATGCTTATCGAATACGACACTGCCAGTGACAGTGTTTGTCTCCCTTCGCATAACAGAGGCGAATCTGCTTCGCTCTGTGCCCGTTCCCGACGCTCGTTTTACCTGTCAAGCTAACGTGCTAGCAGCTAGCCGAGCTCCGTTCACTTCCTCCAAAACAAGCTCTTACGGTGGTGGGTGGCGTCACGCGCTGGACACACCTTGTTGCACAGAACCCGAGAAATCAAAATATTAAAATATAGAATGGAAATTCACTGACATCTACCGAGCGAACTGTATTCACTGTCATAGAGCATACAGTACTGAATTAGTGCTCCACTGACATGGGGTGGAATTATCAATACCACTACAATTAGGAAATACAAACCTATAATCTGGCGATCACATACTATCTAAGAATATGCATAAAACTTGATTTTAAAAAAGTCTGAAATTGTGGAGCTGAACAGAAAAGCCAGGGGAAATAATTTTTAAAACTAACCGAGCACTGAGCCACACAGAAAACAAAATGTTGGCCTACAAATATGCATATCTACAGTCCTGTTGCAAGTGAAATATGGTTTTTATTTTAGCAGTGTATGGTTTGCCATAATAATCTACAAAGGTCAAAATGTGACCTACTCATCTCCATCCCCTCTGCTGCTCCGACTAGTAGGCTACCTCACTGCTGTCTTTCACACCAGACTTTCCAGCCCCTGATAGGATAAGTTACCGTCAGCCATTATCTGCCAGTAGTGACAACTAAGAAGGATCTTAGTTTGCCATAGTTTGCTTTTCACTTTCACCACATATCTGATATATTCTATAGCTAACAACTGATGTTTGGAGGCCAGTTTACTGACATATCCAAGAATGTATTCGTAGCTTTCATGTCCTCTTTTGGCCAATTTTTACTCTATTTGATGATAGCCATGTTAAAAAAACAGGGTGATGAGCCAGAATTTTTTTTCTTTTTTGTGATACTGTTGTTTTTATGGAAATGAACCCATATTTACATTTAAAACATTTGGCAGACTTTACCCCAGTGCTCATAATTAGGCTACATAAACTATTTTATTCATTTCCAAGCCCCATAACATCTTCACTGTCCAGACTACTGTCCACGGGCTGGATTCTGATTGTGAACTTATTGTGAGCTTTGGTGTCAATATTGACTTGGATGATTAAACAGACCTTTACCTCATGGAAGTAGCTTTATGTTGTTCTGGCAAATAAGTCTTGACGGATTACCAAGCAAGTATAATACCCACTTGCTTAAAGCATTATACTGCAAAGTATACATTCGAGAGAATAATCAGGATGCCAAGTATGGTACTTACAATGGTTAAAGTGCCCATGACATGCTCACTTTTGCTTGTTTCCAGCCATTTAATGTTTAATCTTGGGTAACTCTAAATTAGTTTGACATCCCTCATAACTCCAAATAGTTTGTAATTGTTTCAGAATCAGAGCCAAAAAGCCTCTTCCTTAAAACCAGAGGAAATTTCATGAATAACTCCTGCTGCCAGTGTTGTGTTGCAAGTGGACAGCCCAACAAACCACAACAGCATTACTTAATATGAATTTCTCCTCCATAGATAACGTAAACAATGGTATATGTACCGATGAAAAGAGATGTGTAACACTCTAAAAAAAAGTGGATAATTGAGAAACCCCATATTTCAACTGGCATAATGCAGACATAGTAACTTCTCCAGCCTTGCAACAATTCTAACATTACAGAAACAAGGCATTAACAGACATGCTTACTTACTGTTAAGTCCCACCAAGTACTGGAAACATCACTCCCTTTCAAGTAGCTCCAAGGTCAGTAAATCCAACCGGTGGTCGCTGCATCTTCCCCCACACAACCACATACAATGCCAAAGTAGTGAAATTAATTCCAACAGGTAGCGTAGCACCAACAATAACATCATGGATCATAATCTGCTTGTTAATCAGCAACACATCACATGTGGCAGACACAATGGCCCAAGCAGTGTATTTTTCTTTGCATCCTCTGGCCACACTGCAGTAATAGAAGGTAAAATATATCCACAAAACCAGGTGCAGCTGAAAAATTTGGCTTTTACAATTTTAAAAAAAAAGCTTTCTTCTGGAAAACATACATAACAAACAAGGCAATGTGACATTTTGCAAATATGGTGGGGGCACTGTTGGATGTCAGGTAAGCTCACATTAATGCACAATGGCCTGGATTTAATGCCCATTCAAGGAGATCCTTAAACTATCACGTAATACTTAATTTTGATAGAAAAAAGTCTCGCGAGGAAGAGTTTGCGAGATGTGCATAAACCCAGTTGCTTCTGCATAGAAATACTAGAACATACATACACCTCATTTTTTGAGCTTTAGGTCACCCCAAAGATGATAATTCTCAATTGTAATATTGATAGTTGTAATAAATTAAGTCAAAAACAAGGAAAAGCATGTCATTGGACCTTTAAGAGTTAAAAATATCTACTGAAACCTGGGACTGAACCAGGGACCTGTAGATTAGCAATTTATCCCTCTTCCATCTGTTATAATGTGCAGACATACATTAAATATAACAACACTGTAGCCAACAGAATTTACTGCACAGGACAGGATGAATCATTTTACTGGTTATCATAAAATACTTTTATTGTTAGAAAGGTAATCATAAGTGTATGTTTGTTGTTGTTTCAGATTATACATTCGCTTCTTCTTATGATGTTTATTGACGGTTTGCAAGCCAATTTAAGGTACATTACCGCCACCTGCTGGGCTGGAGTGTGGAACAATTAACATGATACATTCGCTTCAGACGCACAGCGTGTTGTAAATAGCACGTCATGACGTCATTACGTCGGACTTGCATGAAACGTCATCCTTTCTCGATGTAGTGTGGTGTGGTGGCCTTTCTTTGCTGCTCTACGTTCCTCCTAGGCTTTCCGCTCTTCTCCCGGTATTTTAGCTCTTAGTATCTTTAATAATGACCGGAAAGACGCCACTTCTCGTCGCTTGCCTGCTGCTTCTTGCTGCTGTAAGCTCGCAGGTTTCAGCGGATGGTTTGGTTAACGAGGAGGTGAAGAGGACTGTAGACCTGAGCACTCATCTGGCTAAGATCACCGCAGAGACCGTGCTGTCCAACCAAGGGCACTCTGCCGCCCATAGCTTCATATTAGCGGTAGAGAGTGACCTGGCCCCGCATCTGGCATATATCGGAGCCTCGGTGAGCCAAGCATGAGCGAATCAAAGCTCTTCTACCTGTAACGACTAGTTGCTTTAGCCCGTTAGCTGCTTTGTAGTAATGATTAGGCTACACATATTTTGTCTGTGCAAAATCTTGCAGCTCTCAAATTTTTTGCTTTGAATTGACAGTAGTGGCGATGCAAAGATTGATAATAGCACGCTACCATATGATGTTACAATCTGTTGTTTGAATGTATGAAATAACTGCTGTCCATGTGAAATGAACCAGTGTGGTCCTGCAGATATTGGGCTCTGCTGCAAGCAAAGAGGCAAACAACCACAGTTAGCTAGTGTTTCAGGATGTATACTGCGAAGTGCAAGGTTTTGGCTTCAACTCATTTTCTGTGAGAAGAAATGCGACGAATAGCTGACCTAAATACTGAATACATTTTGAATTGCTAAGGAACTGGGCAACAAATGTTAACTTCCGCAGCGCTGCACGCTCTGTCAGTGACTGAATGACACGTATGTGCTGGGCCGCTCACTTCCGTGTGTGACTGCGCAGGCCAGCCCCTTCTTCTCTATGAAAATGCTCAATTGCTTTGTGTTTTGACAGAATAATAAAGCTACACATGGTTCCTCCAGGGGGCTGTTATCAACTGTATTGTAAGCCTTACGTCCTGTGTTCTGCTTGTAAATTGAAAGTATATGCTGAAACACCCCACTTTTCTGTAGGTGAAGGGCGATGAAGAGGAGGATGGCACATTGGAACTTGAACAAACCACAATCCAGGGCCAAAGGTAAGAGGTCTGAGTCTTTTTTTCGTGAGCTAACCAGATTCTCACACATGTATAAACAAGCAAACCGCACAGCATAACTGGAGCATTTTTGATTAACTTTGACTCAGAAGAGTATCTGAGGACCCTAAAGTTAAGAGCATTTAAACTTTGTCTAAATACATAGAAAAGGTTTTTCCATACTCTCTTTCTTATTGCCTTTAGCCTGGGAAATAAAAGATCACCATTTAGAAACAGCCCTCGGTTTTCTGCTCCAACAAACTCCAACACCAACCTTCCTGTCAAACAGTTCAGGGACATAAAAAAGAAAACAAATGGGTTTGATTATAAACCATTTTTTGGCAGTTTCTTAGATGACAAAAGACATATTAATAAAAATTAGGCTATTTTGCTGCATTTTCAATTCAGATTGATGGTTTAAAAACCACTCCCTCCCATAAGAGTTCATGTCAAGAGTCCAATAATATCATTTTCTAGTTCCTGAAGCTGATACTTTACAGCAGAAGCATTAACATTATTATGATGTTGTATCTTTTCCATACCCCTCTTTTTCTTCTCTTTCCTCTGCAGAGGTGAATTTTACAAAGTGCACCTGCCTTCCAGTCTGGCAGCTGGTGCTCAGCTGAAAGTAAAGGTGGAGATGACATTCAGCCACGTCCTGAAGCCCTTCCCCACACACATCACCCAGGCAGAACGCCAGCTGGTGGTCTTCCAGGGGAACCACTATCTGTACTCCCCGTACCCCACCCACAGCCAGACCACACGTGTCCGTCTCGCCTCCAAAACTGTGGAGAGCTACACGAAGCAGGGCAACCCCACCAAGATGGAGGAGATCATTGAGTATGGACCCTTCCATGACGTGGCTCCGTTCAGTGAGGTACTGCTCAGACCAGATTTGATGAGCTGATGAAACTGTGAGAAAGTTGCTAAAACTGTGTCCTGTTTGTTTTTTACCGTTCAGGATACAATGAAGATCCATTATGAAAACAACATGCCCTTCCTCACCATCAGCAGCATCACTCGCGTCATTGAGGTGTCTCACTGGGGCAACATTGCTGTGGAAGAGACCATTGACCTGAGACATACGGGAGCAAACCTGAAGGGACCTTTTTCACGTTACGATTACCAGCGTCAGTCAGACAGCGGCATCTCATCTGTCAAATCCTTCAAGGTGTTTTGTTAAACACAAATCACTGCTGTCTGACTTTTTCACTGTTTGTGTGATAATGATGCTGACTGTATATTTTTTCTGCTCAACAGACTATCCTTCCTGCTTCAGCCCAGGATGTCTACTACAGGGATGAGATCGGGAATATCTCTACTTCCCATCTGCAGGTTTTGGATGACTCAGTGGAGGTAGAGGTCAGGCCTCGCTTCCCTTTGTTTGGAGGCTGGAAGACCCACTACATCATTGGCTACAATCTGCCCAGCTACGAGTACCTCTACACCCTGGGTGAGTTGGTTTCTGATGACTAACCCAGAAGGGTTACAGTGGGCTATCTCAGCAGGCAAGATCTACGCTGTTGCCATAATATCTTCTTCCCCCTCATCATCAAATCAAAGGGAGTCTTGCTAATGCATCACATCATTTTATCTTCTAGGTGACCAGTATGCACTGAAAATGAGACTAGTTGACCATGTGTATGATGACCAGGTTATTGACTCCCTCACTGTGAAAATTATCCTGCCAGAGGGGGCCAGGTCAGTGACTGCAAGAAAATCTAGAGTGTGTCAAACTGAGTATAGTGTTTTGTTTCTTTTGGCAGTAGTTGGTACTAATTTCTCCCACTTTCTTATGTGTTGTCCTCTCAGAAACATCCATATGGACACTCCTTACAAAATTGATCGTATGCCAAACCAGCTACACTATACATACCTGGATACCTTTGGCAGACCAGTGCTGGTCGCCACCAAGAACAACCTGGTGGAGCAGCACATTCAGGATTTTGTGGTAAGACAAATGCAGCAGGAGTTTACCAAATGCAGCAAAATATGTACAAAAGCTGTTTTGAAAGTAACTTGTATGTAGCATTAACTATATGTCTAGGCATTAAGAGCTGCTGTTGAAGTTTTTTTGGGGCTTTTTCAAATGCCAGAAAACTTTAAAACTTTACTTACTACCTCAGCCAAGGAAGTTATGTTTTTACTGGTGTTTGTTGGTTTGTTAGTTGGTTCACAGCATAACCTGATAAGTAATGAATGGATTTTGATGAAGTTTTTTGGAGAGGTAGGATACAGCCCACCAAACAATCCATTAGATTGTGGTGCTGATTCAGGTCATCATCCAGATCTGGGAACTTTTTAAAAGCGTCTTCACTATTGTGAGATAGGGCCAATTTCACTATTTCCGATTTTAACTCAATACACAATGCTTAGGCAAAAACGCATGGTAACATCCATGTGTAGAGCTATCATACACCAAAGTCTGATATGGATCCAAGTGATATTCTGGATGTAGTGATCAAGAATGTTCAAATTTATAGGGCTCACAGAAACAACAACTGATGGTACAGACTTGCAACTGAGATCAAATTCTAGCTAAAACTGCTGACTCAGCAGAGGGTCAACAATTTCGACGTATCTTCAACAGTTGCTGAGCTCCTGAAGAAAATCATTAATATTTCAGTAATTTTCATTGCTAAACTATTCTTTTTCTTGAATAGCTTTCAAACAAATAATGAGACCAATGTGATACCAAGTGCCAGGGGTGTGATGTATGAATCATATTATGAGGGTCAAACTATTATATTGCCCCTGGGCAGAGTGGCATTAAGGGGTCAGTGAGCTGCCTTGGTGGAGGTTACTTTTTTCTGAGTGCTGTCTACTTTTCATTGTGTCTCCCGAGGCTCTAAAAGTTCTCTTATGGAGTAAATAGTTGCAAGTAACTGTGCATTATAGCTGTCAGTATTTTAGATTGGCAGTCTAATTGAATTTATTCTTTACTGGAAATTCCATGGATTTTCTAAATGCCAGCCTGACTAGACTTGCCTGATGTGTGTGAATTTGCTGAGCTGTGAAAAAAATTTCAGACCTGACCTTATCTTGTTGCCAGGTTCATTATAACTTCAATAAGATCCTGATGCTGCAGGAGCCTCTGTTGGTTGTAGGAGCTTTCTACATCCTTTTCTTCACTGTCATCATCTACGTCCGCCTGGACTTTGCCATCACAAAGGTATGACAACATTAATCAAATAAAGATAATTTGCTTCCATTCAGTCTCATTCTTCTGATCTCTCTTCTGTCTGCCAATCAGGACCCTGCTGCTGAGGTACGTATGAAGGTGGCCTCCATCACAGAGCAGGTGCTGACGCTGGTTAACAAACGTCTGGGTCTGTACCGTCACATGGACGAGGTGGTCAATCGCTACAAGCAGTCTCGCGACACCGGGGCACTCAACAGTGGCCGGAAGACACTGGAGGCCGACCACCGCGCCCTCACCAACGAGATCAGCTCACTGCAGGCCCGCCTCAAGGCTGAGGGCTCCGACTTGGCTGATAAGGTGAGCACAGTCTGTGCTTGAAATGTTGTAAATGAAATGAACTGGCTACATACAGTCAGGTTCACTTCCTTCTTCTGTGTTCTGAGGTCGGGGAAGTGCAGAAGCTGGACGGGCAGGTGAAGGAGCTGGTGTGTCGATCCTGCCAGGAGGCGGAGCGGCTGGTGGCGGGTAAGGTCAAGAAGGAGGCGTACATTGAGAGTGAGAAGACTCTGACCAGCAAGAGACAGGAGCTCATCAGCCGCATTGACAGTTTGCTGGATGCCCTTTAAACTGCCTCGGCCACGCTAACACACACAAACAGACACACACACACCACCGTTCCTTCAGCATACAACTGAGTGTATGTATGATTAAATGAAATGTGACTCAAATGCGTACACATTTTATTTTACCATCCTTAAACCCAGACACGGACTATTAACATCTCATCTAACAGTAGTGATGTGTTTATCCAAACACTCGTGCCTTGTGATAAACTTGAGGTCACTGTGTGCTCAGCTCCACAGCAGCTACTGTACATCACACATTTTGGCTTTTTAGTTTCAATTTTTTAGGTTTTTTTGAGCTTAAGCTGTGTCACATTTGACTCATTTTCAAATTCAGATTTTTTTTTCAGGATGTATGGTCAAGGGACTTTTTCTTTTTGAAATGTACAGCTGAAAGGCCTGAGTGTTTTCAGTCTCATGTCTTTACTCATATATGCTTTATCCTTGAATATTTTCCAATCTTATCTCTTTTGCACTTACAACTTTTTTTCTACTTGTCCCCAACTGGTATTCATATTTGAAAAATTTGAAGCTCTGATTCTGTCAACCTTGAATGTTTGTTTTCGATGTTGCTCAGTCATATTTTCTATATTTTGTATGAATTTGTTGTTTTGTAAGTGGTTATTTTTGACCATGAGATTATTGAATACATGAGATTCAGTTGTATGTGAGAAAAGACATGAGAAATGTTTGTGAATTGGGCAATGATATGGAAAGCTGTCAAATTTGAAATAAAATGTTGATAAACTCATCACTTAACATGCTTATCTGAATCCATACAGCTGATGTACATTATGTCTTTCTGGGTGTATTGGTTCATTTAATGAAGCAATACCTTTAGTTACTCAAAAGAGGGCGCACTTGTGTTTGGAGCCACCACTTCGCCATATTTAGAGGCTTTGTTTTTGTTGGTCTTCAACAAAACCACTCTGCCTGAGCCTGTCAGTGCCATTGAATACTCTACCTATAAATATACAAAAATAAGAGTATGTCATCCTAATGTGCTCAAAATAGAAAGCCACATTTGTTAAGCGACTGGTGCCTATTTTAAAACTGGCACCTCTGCGGGAGCTTCCGGCACTTTGTTGTGTTCCTTGTTTCAGAGTAACCCCACCTATCACGCTCTCCTTCCCAGGCAGCAGAGCAACCGACCTGCCTCCATCACAGTCTAGGCCCAGGACAAACACAAGGGTCACACTGAGGTCATTGGTTTCCTTTTGAGGTCACCATGGTCCTTGCAGGTCACTTCCTTCAACATAATAATAGGCCGCATTTGCCTCACAGTGATAATGCTACCATATTGTATGTGCCATACAATAATCATTCTGAAAATACGCAAGTAGGGCGAAAGCAAAGACAATGTCTGTTAGCACTGATGCTTGGTGCTGCAGAAAGGTCACACAATGGCATTTTTGTTTGTGTCTACTTGAGTGGAGATTTGGAGCAGTGAGAGCACAGGGAGCCACCGGGTCTCATTCTCACAGCGGAGCACAGTGGGTAGACTGCGGCTGCTTGCACGCACCCGCCTCAACACCAGTGACTGTGTCGAACAAACCGCTGAGCTCATGTCTGCCCTCCACTCTGCAGTGATGCTATCAAATCACTGAGTTTTAATGTTACACTGAAAGATTTCCACAGTGTAGAAAATCTGTGGATTTGTGATTGAACTAAATCAGATCCCTGTTTCTGAGACTTAAGTGATGTTCTTGAAAATACTTAAAATAGTAAGCATCAGCTCTTTGCTGGGCTCAGCACATCACATAATGCAGAGATTCATGTTAAAACAGCACTGGCAGTAAAACTAACAACCAGATTCTGGGACCAGAAAAGATCATAGTACAAAGATGGCACTGATTTTGAGTGCAACCGTTTTCTATGCATTTGCATCACCTGCATCTGCCACTATAGTACTAAATTGTTTATTTATTTATTTTACCCCTCTAAGATAGGCTACCACATCTGCCAGCAGCAACCCCCAGCTTGCCATTTCAGCCAAGTTTCCATCTTTACTTCCCATTTTGTATTTTTGTATATCATCAATATTCTGTCTAGATTTGATACTGGACATAATAAACAGTAACACAAATAAATAATGACGATTATGATGACTGCTATATAAATGCACAATCTGTTACATGCAGTAACAGATACAATAACGTTGAGAAGGATTTGAAGTTTGAAGGCAAACATGTGTTGTAAGCCCTTAATTTTATCCCTTTTTAGACTGATTATATTATATTGTTAAAAATCTTAAGACCTAACAAAAAACCTTTATATACTGAATTTAGATACTGGTATATCTGGATTATCTGTAAAATGCAAGGAAGCACAGAGATCAAAATGTGTTATTCTTGTTTTTGCAGCTTTGTCCATTTGAACTAATCAGATTAATAAATTCATCTGTAAAAATATATTTAAATATGTGATTTACAGGAAGCTTCATCACGTGAAGTCATGTTAATTCCGCTAGTCAAAGGTTGCAGAGGCAGCTGTAGCACTACTCTGCTAAGCTAGGCTAGTTGGGCTTTAGCAGGGCTATGACATTTGTCCTTATGATTTAAGATTTAGCACCTGTCTTCTTTATGCGATACAGCTCAGTTACTAAGGTGCTGGCACATTAAAATGGATAATCCGGTTGGACAAAATATGTAAAAGTGGGTGAATTAGCTTTTCAGTTCAATTATTTATCCTAGGCACTGAACCCCCCCCCCCCCCCCCCCCCCTAGGCCCATTGTTCCACATCTACATGCACTGACAGGGAATGTTTGTTCACTTCTGTGACAAAAATCGTATCTGCATTCCAAATTATAAAATAGGCCAAGATGCCAAGTCATGATCATACATCAGGATGACATAAACAGTAATCTTTTCTGCATTCCATAATAAATAGAGGCAGTCACCGTACATACTCAGAGTTACAAAGGAGAGAAAACTCAGAATAAACAGAAGTAGAAACAAGATCATTTAAATAATCGGTGCACAAGTCATGATTCATAGAGGAATCACATAAAAATGTTTCTCATCTTCTATGGCCATAGTTGCCCAAAATCACCTCACAATACTTACAAGTTCTGTTAGTGGTGCACTCTACCTGTCTCTACAGCTAAATTATGATCTGAACATCTGAACAGAAATGATGATTGTATTAAATGCTTATTACAAATGGCAGAAATATAACATTCTGTTTTTATAACAAATGTATATAGAGAACATACCTTCAATTTATCTTCCAGTATAGTATACCATATATCACACACTTTTTCTCTCACTCACTGATCGAGAACAGCTATGCTCTTACATCACCTACACTCTGAGCCTCCCAGACATTAGAGGAACCACAGGAACACAATAGGCTTCTGAGAGAAGAAACCCAACAGCATCCAAGCATATTCTAACATTTTCTTGGGTAATGATAATCAGGCATTGACACTAATTGTATGCAATACAAAATACATCTTTTCATATAAAAAGTAGACAGTGCATATCTACCAAAATCTCCCAAGACTGCTGCATTGCTCACACTCGTACTGACACCCAAACCTTTTTACATAAGTAAATCTGGACATTCTCAATACATTCCTCTGTCTCAAAGCCCCATATTACAGATCCATAATATAATATAGGGCCTATTGTACGATCAAACAGAAACGGAGCTTTAAGGTAACTGATTTTATGCTTATGAGTGAACCTCAGTAAGGAGAATATGGCCTTCTTACTCTGGCTTAAAGCTAATTTACCTAAAAAAAAGTTAAGTTAATTTACTAGCTAAGCTGGAGTGATATTTCTCCAGTTGGATTTTCTACTTATTGCAAAATAAACACCCTGTTTCCCCCACTAAAGTTACACAAATCTATGGCAAAGTATTTTTATATAGTAAAACAGATGACAAAAAGTCTAATTCTAGTCTTGACTTAATTTTAACTCAATATGCATTTACGACATTTTGGCTTTAGGGGCAAAATAGCAGGCTATTGATTGTATGGCCTGACTGATTCCTGCTCAAAGCATACATGTGATTAGTCAGGTGATCATCATCTGTATGTAGGACAAATTTGCTTCATAAAGGTATCTTATTTTTCACTTTCAGAGAAGAACTCTTTACTGTCTCCGAAGCTTTTAAAATATGGTTGTGTAATTCCTTGAGCCTTTCATGATCCAATGTCATGGCATGCTCAAAAATAGGCCATATTTGAGCCAACAGATTTCATGAAGCCATGAAAAGTTTTCGAATTTCATGTTAGAATGATGCTTTTACTCAGTACCATATTTCTATTACTGGCCTCATAAGGGGACATCACTAAATGTTGCCGGACATTAAGTCTTATGTCATCACACATCATTTTGTCAATACATTCGCTTCTTCCTTTGGCTGTTACATCACTGAGAGGGCACTGCCTAGTGTGATATTGGTGCTTGGATTATTGGAGGCCTTTCAGTCTTTTTACTTCCAGCCCTGTCCTCTGGCCCAGGATGTGATTACTGGTCGCAGAAGAGCTGCGGTTTATCTGTTGGTGTAAGCCGAGCAGAATACTGTTTAAACCGGAATACATGTGCAGCACTGTATCCTGATGTGGCAAACAGTGTGTGTGTGTGTGTGTTTGTATGTGCAGGGTGTTGGACTGGCTGGGCCATGTGGTTGAGCTGTCAAGGTCCCCCCTCAGGCATCAAGTTGATTATTATCTTCCTTTCCTGAACTATAGTAATAATGTAGAGTGTGTTCCTTCTTTAGCTGCCAGAAAAATAATGATAATGCAAAAAAATAAATAAATAAATAAAGGAGTCAAACTAGGGATCAGTCAAAGAGGTAATCCACAAGCTCTGGGCCTTGTGATGTGGTTGTGATTGATTACATTGAGGGCTCACCTGCAGCACTCTCCCTCTTAATCTTTTTCTCTCTAAAATACACACAGAGACATACACAAAGAGAGAGGCAGAAGTCACCAGTCAGGGAACAATATCCTGCTCAGAAGACCCTTCACAGCACACTCTCATAAATCACTGAGACAGAGCCACCACCCTCACTGTCACCATGTTATTATGCACACACACACACACACACACACACACACACACACACACTCGGGTCCACGTTCCTCACGACATACATTCATTTAATTCAGTCAATCCTGCTACCTGGCCATACAAAGATGTCATCAAAAAGAAGAAATACGAGTCAAATCTAAACTCAATACTCTCCCTCAAACACACACCTCACCTGGGTTGATTCCCTTTGGCTCTGCTTAAAGCACACATCTTTACAACAGCAACTCTGTGTCCTGCTCTGCCCCTGCCCTCTGCACCAGCCATTCTTTAGTGACAGGGTGCTGGGATGAGGGGATGAGAGGCTCTGGAGGACAAGGTGAGGGGTGGATGAAAGGCCCTCAGCTCAGATCCTGTGGCCCTGGGTCCTGTGCAGGTGGCAGATGTGATTTGGCTGGGTGCAGAAGCGTGAGGGCGAGGAAGAGGAGGACAATGAAGGTGTCTGTGGCCCTCATTGCAGCTGCAGGAGGTGGGGAGGAGTGGGGCTGACAGACAAGACAGTCAGACAGACCGAGGAAGGGAAGGACAGCACAGGAGGCACAGAGATAGAGATGGAACTTCAAACAGAAGATTGGGCCTTGGGTGCAGAGAGATGCATTCTTGTCTGGCATGGAGGAGGTGGAGAAGGAGGGAGTGCTGGAAAGACAAATGGCACAAGTGAAGACGAGCATCAAAGTCCACTGATGTATTCTTCTTGTGTGGATGTTTATACCGTGCACACTTCTGCCCAAAGCTTCAGTGCTCTGCCTGTATTTGTGCATATTGATGCCAACCTCCCTCTCTGTGGATTTGTATTGATGAGACAGTAATCCTCTTCCCTTGTCGACCTTGTGTGCAACTGTCCACAGCTCCCACTAAGAGCCACTGATCTCTGCCACATGGCGCTCCATCAAAGCATTGATGGTCATGCCTCTCAGGAAAAGTTTTGCCAAAACCCACACCTGCATGGCTCAAATATGTCCCACAGTATAAAGGATAAGCAGCGAATGAAAGTCTTTAGACTTTGTACCATCTTGGATCATATGAAGACAAGTGAAACAAAGCTGTCCTCTGTTAACAAGCACTCTTCTCTGTGAGCACACGTGCAGACACACATGTTTCCTACTTTCTTTATCAGAGCTGATTAGAGTGACAGGGGCACTTCCCATTGGCTGCGAGAGTGGCCCTTTTCTTCCCAGGGCAGCCAATTTCCTCTACTCCAGAGCTGATAGGAAACTTTGATTGTCCACTGAGCTCATAGGAGACAAAAAGATTTTTCCTCTTGCAATCCACATATCGCTTCATCGCGTCTACCTACAACCTCACTCCCTGCTGGCTCTCTCCTCACCCTCTCTACCGTCTCTCCCTCTTGAATTTTCTTGCCTTTATTCCACGAACCCATATTCACCTTCTGTTGTGGGCTGTAGATTGTGAGTCCATTAAACTGGCAGACACTGCTTTGATGGGCAGGAAGTTTCACTTTATGTGGTGACATCTGCATCCTGTGACACAATCCTAGCTGGTATACATGATCTACTGTCTTGGCTTACCACTGTCCTCTAATAGCATTCTTTTAATTTAATACTGTGAGGCACAGGCGGATGCTGCTTAAAGCATTTGCATACTGGTATGTACTTATGTTGGGGGTGAGGTAAACCGAAAGAGAGAGGGGAGGTCAGAATAAAAGGTGTCTGAGCATGTAGAGAGAGCCAACAGGAAACATCTCGCTCTCTCTCTCCACCTGATGCTGACCCTCCCTGAGAACACACTTCCTGTCATAGCTCCTCTAACTTCCTGTCCAATCACTGGGAATCCCAGCTGGCACATTCCAGCTGTGCACTAGACTCCCTCCCTCTCTGAGCTGCTGGAATATTACCGCTTCTTAATTGCTCAATCCTGTAGAGAATTTGATGCAAATATAGTGTATCTCGCATGCGCGCGCGCACGCACTCACACACACACTAATCTAGTAGTGTTACTACATCTACTTCTCGGCAGGGGTCGCTATATAACAGCACATTATCTCCTGCGTGGCTGGACTGCAGCTCTTTTCCACAGTGAAACTGTCAGCCTTCATCTTTCACCTCAGGAGGCTCTCATCTATATTACTGGTGTTTTAGTGTCGGGAGATGCGCAGTGCTAACAGTCTAATGGTATTAAATGAAATGGCACATGCATGTTTATGAATGTGCCTTTACGCGGAGGCCATATGGGCTGGAAAAAAGCAGATTTGGTGACTTTGTGTATGACCTTTTCAGAAAGAGAGCTAATCCCGAGCTATAATAGACTCAGGGACCGATATGGAAAACTGCTGCACCGTTATCTCGGTTGTCCAGGAAACCATCAGAGCACCGGGGCCGGTGGAGATGCCACGGTATTAAAAGGAGTGTGTGTGTGTGTTTGTGTGTTTGTGTGTATTGGAAAATGTTTCCTTTTTGTCATAAGTGTCACTCATAAATACTGCATTATATTTCATGCCTGATTATGGGCGTGAAGCCATTTTCCGCCCATGTTAAAGTCTAAGCTTTATTATTATACATTTTTTTCAGCATGCTGAAATTATTTGAACACATGGGAAAAGATCAGTCATGAGAACAGTGAATGAACGGTGGTGTGCTCGTTAAACGGAAGTCCCCTGATATTAATAATAAAGTTTAGCAAGCCTTCTATATCCTAAATTATAGCAGACTAACCAAATGCCACGGGAGTTAATTTGAATGTTTTAATTCTAATGGCCTACAGTGTGAGGCCCGTTTCTCTGGAGTGAAGTCCTGCAGGCCTTCTGAGCAGACCAAACGAAATCAGAAATAAGTAACGATGCATGTTAAGCGGCTTATCCTGTTGTGAAACTGAGGATGATGCTATCACGTTCAGTGTGTTTATTAGGAGGGAATCATTTTCACGTGTACAATTATAGTTGGAAATTGAGCTCATCACGTTATCTGCATTTTAGGCTGTTATCTAGAGATAGTCTCAGATATTAGAATCACACAAACGGGTTTATCTTGGATTGTCTTATTTTGGAAAAACTAAAAATGATATCATTTCCAAAAGGTAGCCTAAATTTAAAATTCATCAGCAGATGGAACTAATCAGACAGATAGGCATCGTATCACCGTTATAGAGGCTATGTCTAATATATATTGTACTGATATGTAAAGTGTGTGTACCAATGGTGTGGCCAATGAACTCCCTCCATATAGAGCCTATATTGGCTGTAACCTTGCATCGCGGAAAAAATGTGTAAATATTTCTCATTCCCTGCGCCTATCTGTCTCTATCAACCTGCGGGATCCCTCCCCACAAATGATGCATTAGATGCATTGAATGTATTTGTTGTGCAAGTTTGAAAAGGAGGCGATAATCTGGAAGTGAGAGATAAGGAACACCAATTTATTCAGCAGCACTTTGGACCCCGCTTCCAGCCTCGGTCGGTGCTGACACCCCAAGCAGTTTGCTGATAACGATTGGGCCATTTATTATCTTCACAGAGAACAAAGATTGCGTGGTGCCGATGAAATATTACCCCTGGTAATAATCAGAAAGAGAAGGGCCTGGGTATCTAATGCAGTGTGCAAATAATATCGTCCCTGACGAAAACAGTACGCGTGGGCGCACAGAGCCTCGTGCAGAACAGGCAGAAAATTGATTAATAAAACAAGTGCAGCCACACACAAATACAGCATTAAGATATAGTGCTGTCTTTTATTTGCTGATAGAGATAATCGCTCCATTTTAACAACAAAAATAATAATAACAACAATAATAATTATAAAGGGCAAAGTAATTATTCCCTGACAATGTCTAAAACAAAATAACACTTCTAATAATTTATTTATTTATGTGACCATCTGCTTTTAACCTGATTAATAGCTCTGGTGAATTGTTGTCAGGTCTGAAAGAAGGATCACAGAGACCACATTCTCATAATACTCAACTAATTAAATTCTAATTAACTGCAAATTTTAAAAGGCATGAGTGTTTTGTGTTTGCACAGGATAATATCGTCTTCATGTTTTACCTAAAAATGAACTTAGGCTGTAGACAAATTGGGAATAACCAAAGAGGAATACATTTCGTTTACAGGTCAGACAATAACAACAAGCTTTAAAAAAAAAAAAAAACGCTTTAAAATCAAAACTCTTCTACTTGTAAGTTGTTTGAGTCGAAATATTTTTAGTCCATCATATGTTTCTAGGTTATTCGTTACGCGCATTCAATCAAATTAGCCTGTATATTCGTGGACGTCCATTTTGAGCCATCGATTATCGATTATTTGGAGCGCTCTGGTGATTGTAAACACAGAAGCAAATGTTATTAATTCAGCCAGACTCCACGTTTCTTTCACCTTTTCTTTCTCTTCTTTTTGTGAGCGCGGGCACTCTAGGGAGCACGAGCCCCGAGTCGCAGAAGTCCTCGCGCCACTTGCACCTGCCTGACTCCAGCGCCACGCACGAGCCCAGGTCGCGTGCAGGAGATTTTAGCGGCTTTGCATGTTTTACAAAGTTGTTGTTACTGTGTGGGATATAAAGCACAAGAAAGGAGGGAGGGGGCCGTGATTTTCTTCTTCGACACATTTGGGACAGGGGGAGGAGCAGGGCTCAGTGTCAAGAAGCAAAATCTCGGTAAGTCAATTAGATCCGAGTCTGTCAGTCTTTTTCAAAATGTAATGACAAACAAAAAGAAACGCACAAAAAGGCAATAAGAACATTCTCTATTAATAAAGGTAACTTCACAGGCATATATCATACACGCAAAGGACTAGAGAAATAGTAGCCTGGCTGCGAATGTGGCATTTACCCAACTATCCAAGTTCAAATGGAACCTTTTCTGTTGGCTACAAGCTGACAGATTACTCTCAGAATGTTCATATTATCTTGCACCTGCAAATGGAGACCTCACCTGGTCCGTAATGACCCAGAAAGCCCTTAACAAAATGCAATAATGTAGCTTTTTAATACTGTTTGTAAAAGTGAAAGATGTGCACTAAAATTCTCCTAAAGTGCCACCACCATATATGCAATTCTGCATTAAATAATAACAAAAGATGCTTTTTTCAGATGCATTTAGTGGACCTTGATTTTAAAAAAGGGTCAAGTTCAACTCCACTGACCACCTCATGGGAACAGGCATTGCTGCCAGTTTAAAAGGGACCCGGAAGACAGGCTGGTGGCTGACGTGCCATTACGTTGCTCTTTGCAGTCTCTCATACGGCCACAGAAGTTTTTTTTGCTCATATTCAGAGGTTTGGATGCAGCGAGAGGAGGGAGACGATGAGCGCAAACACCGCTCTCTACCGGGCGATGGCACAGAGAGCAGCGACTGTACAGGCCACCGCTTGTTTCAGGTTGTCACGGCAGCATCTTTAAAAAAGCAGGGCTCCTCTCGGACACTCTTCAGCATCGCTCGTTTATTTCGCGCCGTTATTTTGGAGAGAAGCACCAAAGCTACAGAGAATCAGAAGGAGCCACTTTCTCCGGCTCGACTCAGGAAGCGCAGCCACTAACAGGTCAGTCAGTTACTGACATTTTTAATTCTTATTCTGGAAATGTTTTGGCGTTTAAAATGTGAAATAATGGTCCAAAGCACGTATTGAAAAGATCTATATTGTTATCGATCGTTTTTAACAGTATTGTAGCAAAATCATTTGGTTATTTTTCTTTACATTACTCGAGCTACGTTTCTATAATGATTTAAAAAGTATGTTTAGACCGTGGCTTTGCTATACGAGTCTGTTTACCTTCACACCGTGGCACAGTGTCGCTATCCATACATTAACTGTGCACTGTAACATAAGATACTATTAGGCAATACTCTGATTATATTCAAAGGTAGAAGAGGCTACAGTCCATTTTACTTTAAGGCTACTAGGTGTTATAGTGTGATCTTATTTTTCTAAATGAAAGAATAAAATTAGTCCAGAGTTAATACTAATACTATTAATAATATCGCGCTAATCAGATGTAGGCTACAGCAGCCTGTTTCTAATATTTTCAGTATTCACGCTGTCACGTAAACACAGGCTTTTACCAATAATCAGTTTCAACATTAGCCACTTTTGCTGCCATGGGCCTAGTGCCTCTGCTCCTGGAATAAACCCACGATCACAACAGGGATTAGAGTATCATCATCCTGATATTAGTGACGATAAAAGTATTCAATTGTCACGCTTTAAAATGCACAATGGTTCGAGCAGCCCGCTTTCATCAGCAACAGAAAGAGCAATGACACCACTACAATGCTTGAGCAGAGACATGGGGTCTTCACTGGCACACACCTTTTTACACCGACCTCTCTTTCTTGCCTGTGCTGTTTGTCTGCAATGAGAGTGAGAGTGTGTATGGACTCAAATAACATGAATGTGGAGTGTGTGTGACCAAATATGTGTCTGTTATACAGCTGTCTGTGAGCTTGTTATTTTTAATGAATGGATGACTGAATTAGTGAATGAATAAACAGATTTTTAACACTGTTGCTGTATTTCTGATGTTATGGTACCACACACAACTTCTCCATAAATGTTTGCACTGGTATAGGCCCAGTTAGGGGTTTAGGCTGAACCTAAAACTGATATTCTGCTCCATATGTCTTTTGCTAAGTACCTGTGTTTTATTCTGCCCTCTTCTGAAATGTTATTATTCTGAGCTCAAACTGCTTAAATAGGAGTGAGTGCTGCTCTCATAGCAACATCCAGGCCCCTCTCACAGCCGTTATACGGTCTCGCGTCTGGGTGCTTGTGTCTGTAAAGCTCCCCCCCACTCCAGTGCCCTGGCTCGATCTAATTAGCCCTGAGTAAAGGGGACAACAATGCTTCAGCTGGTTTGTGTCATTCTCTTCTCTCTGGGCTCTGCTTATCTTCACAAGCCCCACTGTGGCTCTTTACACCCCCCAGGCACACATGCAGACTTGGGCACACACACTTGCACAGTCATACACCTATGCTCTTCACTCTGGATAATGATGGATGACTGTGCCCAATGGGAACAAACAGGTAGATAAAGCCAATCCCATTTAATAACTGCATGGATCGGGATGATAATCTTGTTGTTCATTAGCCACTGTGGCTGCACAGTGATACAGTTGTTGCACACAGGAAGTGTTTTCGGGGGGATAGTGTTATCCAGTCTAGGATAGCATCCCTGGGTGAAACAATACTTCTGTGTCCTTCACAGTGACAGAGGGAAAGCAAAAGCCCCCTGATCATCCCCACTAACCCTCCGTCACCTCTTTTGTTCCTGCACAGATACAAATGGGAATAATGAAGGTATAATTTACAGAGAGCTAAATCGTGCTGAGTAACCCATTTGACAAATGTGCAAACAACAATGCAGCAGCAGCTACAGCCGGAGTCTGACCCACTCTCCAAGGCCCAGTGGTTTACACAGTCAGGACACAACACGGGCACACATGCTGAGCACTGCAGGCTATGGTGGCATGTTACAGTGCTCAGAGAAAATAAATGTCCTCTCACTGATCAACAGCGTTTCACTGGTTGTCAAGCCAAAACAGGGGGAGTTGTTGTTGCAGGTTCAAACATGTGTGACAGCAAATACTCTGCAACACAAAATCGCATCCTTTTATTAACGTGTGTATATGATTGAGTTATTGTTGCATTATAATAGAATATTTATGACAGGAAGTGTTGAGGGAGGCCTGTTCTCACTTCACCTGTGATGCTCCTGTGCGCTGGAATGCCAGTTATTCAGATAGCAGGCCCTCTGCTGCCCCACAAGCTCTAATTTGTTGGTTTTAGGGGTTGACAAGCTCAAAGGGCTGAGCTCATCAACTCACTGCCTCTGGCAACATGCCAGTGATTTAATGACCGATGGCTGACACGCACATGTTTACTCTGCAGGTAGCTATAACATCATACCAGGGCACGACCGTCTCCCTAATGGCCCGCATTGTGGATAACGTGTCACCACAGTTATGAGGAGTCTTTTACCTGCAGGATTTCTCCAGGTATCAAAAGCCCGGCACCCCCCTCCCCAACGCTTCAGTGACGTCAAGTCATGGCGTCCCCGTGGTGGCCAGTCGAGGCTCTGACCAATTATTTCTTGTCATACATGCACGCACATGCACATGCCTGCGCCTATATCTACATGGAGTCAGGCGGGATTTGCGCACAAGGACTAATCATTTTATCCTACAGATACGTCTTCAATCATTACGAAATAGAATAGAATAGAATAGAATAGAATAGAACAGAATAGAATAGTTGCTAGCTTGATTTGGCCTGAAAGCAGTTGAACATAATAGCCTGATGTATTTCTTAATCCACACTAGTAAAAATAACTCTTATAGTTATTCTCACAGAATAATGGCTACTGACCGTAGTAAAATTAAACCAGTGCGTCTGTATTAAGAGTTTTGATTTCTGCTTTAAGTTTTAGGCTACCGAGTTTGGAATTAGTTGAGATACTTTGAAGATCATGAAACAGGCGAGGCCCTGGTGCCATCAAGTGAGAACGAGGCGCCATTGGTATGCAAACCGTTTTGATTGCGCTGTCCTGCAGACAAAACGCTGTTTTCACAAGAGGAATGTCCTGCTACTAATTAAGGACAATTAGGTCCTCCAAACAATGGGGCTAATTTCGGGGTCATAAATCGACTCCTCCTGTCCTGGTTTTAGAAGTGCTGAAAACGCTGTTTATTTACATAACAGCACTATGCGAAAAACAACACTTACAATTATTGCTCGTAAAGTAAAGCTCAATCAGCAGCTTCAATTGTGAAAAGAAAAAACATTGCAACGAGGTGCGAAATTTAAACATCATTCCAAAGACACAGCAATTCTATTTTTGCTCTGAACACTATGTTCCAAGTGAGCTCATATGGAGGTGAGGGCGATTTTAAAATCATCATAAGCTTAATATTGTGCAAACTGAATTCCCCTCCATGTTAAATGTCTGTCTTTAGGCTTGTAACTGCAGCTAAAAAAAAAAAAAATAACAGATCAGGAGCCGACTGCTCATTCAGTCCCAGCTTCATGGGAGTGAAAGACCGCCGAGATAATACACTGCTGATTGATAAGTCTTTCCGTTTTTCGAAATTGAAAGAGGCAGAGTAGGGATGCAGGGAGCCAATTGTATCAGGGCCGACAGTGATTGGCTCTGACCGAGGCCCCGCCCCCTGTGGCTTGATATGGGAATTTACTGGCGCCAGCTGCTACAGTCTGCGCCACATCTCATTAATGAGCATAAGCACCGCACGGAGCAGGGGGTTTACATATCCAAGCTGCCCACCGTCAGCTGATCGAAACTGCAACAGGTACCAAGAGGAAGCATACCTTTCTTTTTCTTTACTCAGAGACGGAATGCACAGTTTCCATATTGAGACAACCGTGCGCTACTTTGTTTACCATCTCTAATCACAAGGGCACTAAAACGTGCAAAGTTTATTTCATGCAACTGCTACTGTTAATTTGAATATAAAGGATGTTTCTTCTTTGCATGGAAGGAGAGGTGGAGCAGCCACGGTGTTTGTGAATTAATATTTTGTTCTTGTCTCATTATACAGGTATCCCGGAGGAGGAAGGAGGAGACCGGGTTATCTAAGGATTCTATTTATGAAGTAAATAAATACAGCCAAGACTTCCATTGCTCGGGAACTATATTTTAAGGAGGATTTAATTTCTACTTGGAGGTAAACAGAACTAGCCCAACACACAGAGACGCATTCGGAGAAGAGGAGAGAGCCAGCTCAGAAATGGAGGTCGCAGCGGCCGATCAGTCTCGGTGGATGGCGCACCATCACGCTGTGCTGAACGGCCAGCACCCGGACTCTCACCACCACAGTCTGAGCCACAACTACATAGAACCAATGGCGCCTTTACTGCCCCAGGACGAAGTTGACATGTTTCTGAACCACTTGGACTCTCAAGGGAACCCGTACTACACCAACTCACGGGCAAGGGTCACCTACAGCCAAGCACACGGTGAGATGCGCTCAAGTTTAAAGTGACACTGAGTTGTTATTATACAATGAGAAATTTGGAACATGCTTGAAAAATTAAGACATTTTATTAACGCATTGTGAAAGTCTTTATAGAATTCATCAGTGACCAAACAGACCAGTATGGTGTGTGCGTGTGGCTGTGGAGTAGCTCTGTTTATTTAGTAGCATAGAGAAACTTTAAGCTTAAGAATGAATTTGGGCTTAAAAAGGCCTTCTTAACACTTCTGGGCCGATTCGACAACATAAAAGGAGTTTCTAGCAAATGACAGCGAGAGGAACGGGAAGTATGTCATTTAACCCCTCTCTGTTGGGGCAGGGGTTTCTGGAAGGAGAGAGGGAGAGGCACTTCCCGGACATAAAATAAAAACCGCAAATTTACTAATAACAATCTTTAGTCCCCCAGCTGCAGCCGATGAAAAAGATACGGCCACGAAAAGGAGCAGTGTGCTTATTTGCAGCCAGTAGGCCTTTAAAATATCTACCTTATAGGTGAGAGTAGCGGGGATACTGTCATTTAATGATAAATATTGTGGCTGTGGGAAAAATCCGTTCTTTTAAATTGACTATCACTATTTTATCCACTTCTGGAGCTAAATGTCGGACTTGAGTAATTCTGACCATTTATCAGGTAACATCTCTCTGTTCTGCTTTACAAATTCATGGCAAGGCTGGTGCGTTGAAGAGGCTTTTAAAAAGTATCGGCGTAATTAAATGGTTTCTTTTGGATTTCAGCTCGCCTCACTGGGAACCAGGTTTGTCGACCACACCTCATCCATAGCCCCGGCATTCCCTGGTTAGATCCGGGGAAAGCGGCTCTGTCCGCTGCCCACCACCACAACGCATGGGCAGTCAGCCACTTCACCAAACCTGGCTTGCACCCCACCGGCTCCGGCTACTCGTGCAGCAGCAGCACCGGCACGGCTCCGGTGTCGTCGCTCACTCCGGCGTCCCACTCCAGCCCGCACCTCTACAGTTTCCCCCCTACCCCTCCGAAAGACGTGTCTCCGGACCCCGGACCTACATCTCCGACCTCCACCTCGACCAGGATGGACGAGAAAGAGTCGATCAAGTACCAGGTGCCGCTGACGGACAGCATGAAAATGGAGAGCTGTAGTCCGCTCCGCAGCGGCCTGGCCTCTATGAACAGCCAGGCCGCGGCCACGCATCATCCCATCCCGACATACCCGGCATATCCTCTGCCTACACCCCACGAGTACAGCGGCAGCCTCTTCCACCCCGGCAGTCTACTCGGCGGGTCCTCCTCCAGCTTTACGCCTAAATGCAAAAGCAAAGCCAGGTCGAGCTCAGGTGAGTCTCACTTGTGTTTGATTGTCTCTCATATGTCAGATGAAACTGATAGAGCCTGATTAAATGGTTATGGTTTGTTCAGCTGAGCGGTGAAGCGTACAGCCAAACATCAGTAGTCTACTTGGCACCACGTAGGCGACTAACATTGCCATATCCTGTCATTGTCAAACATTTCGTTTATATAAATGTGTGAGCATCGCCGCATTGGGATTTACGCAAACGTGTGTTCTAAAATGTAGCCTGTTTATTTTTTAAGCGTCAACTTTGTCTTGCACTTATCTTACAGTACGACTTGTTGCTCTAGTGGGTCACTTAAAGGGTTATCATTTCCATATCGGACACTTCTCTGAAAGCCTGTCCTGACAAGTCTTGTCTGTGTGCCATGGCACTGCTCGCCACTTGTACCTCCATCCACTTACACGAGTTCACTTTGGAGAGGAACACGTGAAACTCCAGCTACAGGCTACCGTGAGCATGGAGCAGAGGGGTGGCTTGACAGAAAAAAACGAGGTATTAGCTACAACAAATTAATTATTTAAAGTTTTATTATTACATTATGTTATGTTTATTTGGTTTAGTCAAAAATAAACGCAATAGAATTTGAAGAATCTTTTCCACATGTTAAGGAGACTTAGGCTGTAATCTAACTTATGTCTATGTTCAGACAGTCAAATGGTTTCTTCGTGTTACAGGCTTGTTTTCTTTTTAATGTGGCCTTTATTGCACTTAAAAATGAAGGAGGCACGACGCCCTGGCTCCTGCCATATCCTGTATACCTCCAAGTGAACAAATCACGACCTCCACCCCCCACCTTTCTCCCCAGCACTAACAAAGCACAGGCGACAGAGCCCTGCTGTTTGTGTTTTTAAGCATGGCCTTGGCCCAGTCCGCTCACACCAAGTGGAGGCAACCGAGTCCACAGTAGATCTGCTTCCAGCGTGTGTAATGACACTGTCACTGGGAGAACTGTGCATGCTCGGAGTACTTCTGATTAAAAATGCACATAATTGGTTTTCCCTTTACAAAGTTTTTCAAAGCCATTGAAATAGTTTACAATAAAACAGACTATTTTCTGACTGTCTGGAGCAGCACCTGATTCAATATACTGCATGTGCTGGGAGTATTACGTAGACTTTATGCGTGACATTAATGTGCAGACGTTTGAAAAACAGCCCAGCCTGGTAATGGGCCTGTAATTTCCCTGCATTGTTCCAGCTGTTGTACAAAGTATTAATGGACAAAAGGTAACAGCAGACATTGTAGACAGTGAACAAGTTGCTCCAAATGTAGTTGTGTAATTATCAGTAGTGTCTTATTGTTCCCATGCATTTTAACACACCTGAAAGCTCACGGCCTGATAATCTGAGGGAATGTGAGCTGAGAAATGTTACACTGTGACATTTAAAAGAAGTTGGCCAGACTGGGCCTGAATCAGTAACACAAACATATCAGCTACGGCATTAAAAAGCCTCTTATCTATCAAAGTACATGTCCAGTGCCAGTAATGGTGATTGATTGTTGTACAAAATGCCACAATGACATTTCAGCTGTCAGCACATATACCTTACAGTAGTGTAGCTTCCTGTTGAATTAGCCACAGACCAGAACCCTTCTTCTCCTCCTCTCTACCGTACCTTTACACATGAAAGTTTCATCTTCCTATTTTTTCTTATTTCAACACTATACATTGCATAAGACAAAATACATTAGTCATTGCTGATGAATAGTTAAAGTATTACAGTATAGGCCCCTCTTTAATGTGGTTGAGGGACTTGTGAAATGCTTAAGAGGAAGAGAAGGGAGGTACAAAAAGCACAGATGCATTTCAAAAGGAACCTAGCTTTTTGCTCAGGTCAGATTCCATTGTAGAGCAAGGGTGGGACTTTGGGTGTCGCTGGCATTATCACAGGAATAATGAGAGGATGCTCTAGGGAGAGAGGAATGCTTGAATTAAATGGCCAAGTCGGTTTTGCAACAGGTCATTTGAAGTCAGGCAAACCTGTAAAGGAGAGAAGTGCATGTGGGAATAACTAAAAAAACCTGTTTCTGATCCAGTCACTGCTGAAGACTAATACAAACCTCATCAATATAATGTCTATAACATCATTTAACTGAAACCAACACCTCAACATTGTCTGGCACGTTTAACACCAGCACCAGACACTTGTGTTTCCTCTCATGTGTGCCCACTGAGCCAGTGAATAATGTAGTCCTAATTTGATGGTGTGTCTCATTCTTCTCGTTGGACACCTCTGGACGTGTTCTGGCTGTCTCTGGCCTATTCCGTTCTGGATCACTTTACACAGAGGTGTCTGTGTCCAGGAAAGCCGTGCACACCTGGTTCACTTGCATGCTGATATGGACACAGCCACAGTCCCAGATCTGGACTTCGTATTGCAGGGCCGTCTAGGTCCACTCAGTGCTGTGAAGTTGCCCGATTGGCCTGGGCAGCTGTTCTTTGTTGCTTCAGTCAGAAGGTGAATTTTTTAATTATATAAAGTTTCTTCTTGTGTCCTCTTGAACTATATGCAGAGGGTCGTGAATGTGTAAACTGTGGTGCCACCTCCACCCCTCTGTGGCGACGGGATGGTACCGGCCACTACCTGTGCAACGCCTGCGGACTGTACCACAAGATGAACGGCCAGAACCGACCACTTATCAAGCCCAAACGTAGACTGGTGAGTTCTTACTCCATCGCTTTAAGCTAAGAGAGGGCACCCAAATATGAGTACAAAGCAGTTGCTGGCTGCACAATTCCAGGAAAGTTATATTTTCCCTATGATCTTCCTGGAATTGTTTGTCTCTCTCACCCCTGATGATCCACCTTCATGGCCTGTTACAATACAGCTACTATTGCCATTGTTCCTGCTATCATTATTGCTGGTACTTCTGATACTCTTACTGATACCAGTGCCCATGTTGCTTTAGTTAACACCATGCTTGAGTAAATGAAAAGCATAGCATTCGTGTTGACACACCACTGCTCCAGAGCTGACATTAACAATAATGACTCTAACTATAGTAACATTAACTATACTGAAGTTCAGTATACTTTTATATGCCATAATACATTTATTTTATAGCTTCAAATCAATTCATAAATACATGTATTTAAAATATTTTTTAAAAATCTTTTTCCTCTAAAACAGGAGCAAATATATATAAAAAATAGCCTTTCATTATTATTATTATTTTTCAGGAGTTATATTGATTCCTGGATCTTTTATTGCTCATCAGAAATATTTGTTTGTAAATGTTTGTGTTGAAATAGTTTCTTTGTCAACACACAAGTCCAGGCATTTCAAAAAAAAATTCAGAAATAGCCACAGGTTTACAAGTTTAAAATAAATTAAAACTATCCTTTCTATCAGTGGCTCAGTTGCTCAGTAACAACACAGTAAATAATAACAATGACAAATAAATAAATAATAAAAAGTTGCTTTCCCCTTTTGACCTTTTGACTTTAGTAAAATGGGTGTGGAGCTTTTCAATTACCCAGGCTAATTAGTAGCCCGGGTCGAACGGCTTGCATTCATTTGATTTGCAAATAAACTGGCCGCTATCAGTACAGGCCTAAAGAAAGATTTTGAACACTAGAGCTTTCTTTTTTACTATTATTATATTTGATTCGAGTTGTTCCCTGGCTTGACCGCCAGCACGCCGTTCCTCTTCGTGAAACGTCCATTACATTTTCCACTGGGTCGACCCATATGGTTGTAGGTTTTGCATTTTAAGCTCAAGTGTTTTTCAGAGTTGTGTTCAAAGGGGCATCCAGTTGTTTCCTATCCGGATATCTGCCCGGCCCAGATAAGGAAGTCAGGCTCCCGGCTGTTTCCGCCCTCAACCAGCGCGCTGCATTCTCTATGGCCACACTGACATGTACTGTAAAGAGATTATCACAACAGTGGAGGAGCCGCTTATGTGTGAAATAGACGGAGCGTGAGGGGCGGGCATTGGAAAATAAATGGATTTATGTCCTTCTCTTGTTTGTCATTCTCTGCGCTACAGCGGCCTTTGCTTTAAAATATGGGTTACATATTTCAGGTTATTTCCTAAAAATGACCAGATTTTTTTTTTTTTTTTGCCTGTTGTTGCTCTTCGGATCGATAGCAAGTTTCCACCTGAAATTAATTAAAAAGAAAAAGCTGGATGCTGCTCGCGAAGCAAAGGGCCGCAGGGCGCTTGCATGTAAAGCTAATGTTTCTCATTATGTGTGAAGAATTGATCCGCAATGGGCGCAGGAGCACATCGCCAGGCAGGACACCGACTTGTAGGCCAGCTTCCCCCTGATCACGGTTTACATAAGGCCTGCACTATAACCTGTTAATACCAGTGTGTTTATTTTTCATTCATTAAATACAGTAACTGTGGGTTGGGGCGACAAAACAGGGCATTCTTTAGAAAACACGCCACTATCTTAATACACAACATTTGCTCATAATAATGGCGAAGTGAAGTGATTTTTCCAGTCAGTGGCTCTTTGGCTGCTTTTTTGGATTATGGTTCTGCTGAAACTTTACGATAACCCAGCTGCCGACGTTTAATTTAAAAACTTTATGTCCCCCCTTCGTTGCATGCAATGTCACTACTGCTGATGCTTTGATTACAAAAATTGAATGATAACCTTTCAATAGATTTCTAACTAACCGTTAATATCTACTGTTTCGTGCAGCTTCGAGTCCGCGCTGACCTCTGCAACATGTGAATCTTTATTCATGACGTGTTCTCTCTGCCTCCTCCAGTCCGCAGCCAGACGTGCAGGCACCTGCTGTGCAAACTGCCAGACCACCACCACCACCCTATGGAGGCGCAACGGGAACGGAGACCCGGTGTGTAACGCCTGCGGCCTTTACTTTAAACTGCACAATGTAAGTAGCCTGGTTTAAAAAAAAAACAAAAACACACAACTCCCCTGTTGAGCAGAACCCACCAGTCGCCCTTTTCCTTTTTTAATCCATCGTTGTTTCAATGGGGGGCGTTACTCCCGGGAGAGGCTGCAGGGTGGGACTGCCATTCAGTGTAACGGCGTCAGTTACACTGATGACAATTTGTCTGAGGCTGCTCTTTTCAGCTCCAGCCTGGTCTTCGTCCCCATGTATTCATATTGACCACGACGGTTGTGTTTGGCTTTAAATTAGACAAAAGCTACAAAACGCCCCGGACTCACGTTATAATGGCACTATGTATGCAAAACAGCTGCTCGTTATTTATAGCATTTTTTCATGCTGCTGTAACTCATTAAAGAAATAATACATTTAAATCCTAGCAATGCACTGTGTCACATATTCCTGGTGACATATTAAACTATATTGTAAAACATTTACATCTGATTCACCTTATAAATGCAGGTTCTCCTGCTGCCTGGACAACATGAGTAAACTCAGCTTAGTTCAGTCTTGTTTTGAGTTCTGAAAATGTTAAACTTAGCTCAGCTAATTTAGCTGACCTGGAGAACACAAGATGACTAAGCATGTTAAGTTGATTCAATTGTTCAGCCGCACAGAAAGACTTTTTAAAGATATTTATCTTCCTTTTACATTTCTCAATTTAAAGACTAGTTCTTCATTTGACATGAACAAGCTGCAGCTATTGGAGGCACAAGTCAACATGCAAGGCTGCACCCATCAGCTTTGTTACACTCAGTGTGTAGGGTAGTGACTGAGTGTAGGGTAGTGACTGAATTCAGTACTAAGTATCATTGTTTGCATAATTCTCATTATTATGAAAGGAAACAACCATGGCCTGTTTCAATACACATTACAAACCAAAGAAAGTTTTCACCATGAATGAGCTCTTCAAAATATAAAAACTTTCTGGGGGAATTTTAATTCTCCAGCAAGGCATGCTGGGAATTTGGCCAGTTTTGTTTTTTTTTTTTAACTTGATTTAATGACAGCAGTTCATTGATTCACTTTATTTCAAGTCAAAACATCTCAAGAGAGAACAACTCATGTTTATAAGTTCTAAAGCGGTCTGAAAATTAAAACTAGAATTTCTATGGTGAATTAACTTGAAATAAACAAAACTTGCATATTTACATTAAGCTAATGAGAAAAACTTAGTTGATTGCTCTAAATTCCTGTATCATGTTTTACAATGTATAAGCTGGGAAACGCGCTGGAACTAACAGTGAAACCTTAACTTATGAAGTGTAGTATTCACACTGTCAGAGTAGCTTTTGTCTGACTTGGCTTGAGCTAATGTGCTGCTCTCCACAGGTCAACAGACCCCTGACCATGAAGAAAGAAGGCATCCAGACACGCAACCGCAAGATGTCCAGTAAGTCCAAGAGGAACAAGAGAGCAGGGGACGGCTTTGACGAGTTAGCCAAGTGCATGCAAGACAAGGCCTCTCCCTTTGGCGGTGCACCCGGCCTCACCAGCCACATGACCCACATGGGGCACCTGCCCCCCTTCAGCCACTCGGGACACATGCTGCCTACTCCCACGCCCATTCACCCTTCATTTGCTCACCCCCACCACTCCAATCGCTCGCCAGTCTGGGCTGAGCCACACTGAGGTCACTCCAGACCAAGAACTGCTCTGCCTGCAGGAGCCACCACATCGCCATTAACACTAAATTACCTCCACATCATGTCGAAAATGGAGCAGACTTCTTGCATCATGTACAGTGGCTGGATGGGGAGGGACTTTCAGTTGGAGTTAATGACTGAAGGTCGTGTTATGCCTGCCCTCACTGATGGGGTGCTGTAGAAAGCAAGACTTCAGCGGGGTCTGTGAGGAGCTAATGTAACAAGGGGTTTGTTAGTCCCTGGGCTTGCAGGAATGGACTGAATGGAGACGCTTGTCATTATTTTTGCTTATTTTTACTAAGTCACTTTGGTACCCACCTCTCTTTGACCCTGTTACAAGAATCTCATGAGAGGTCTTTAAAAGAACCGCTGTTTTCACCTCACGACCAACTCGTTACATGCTGATAAATGTGCCCCCCTGTTCATCCCTAGGCTGTCCTACACAACTGCTGTGGACAGGCAGAAAGAAAGACCGGCTGAGAGCTACAGCACCTGTACACCTCTGTTACACACCAGTCACGCCCAGACTACAGTGCCCCCCAGGCAGTGCTCTCCTCACATGCTGGAGGAGACCACCACACACCACCACAACGCTCACCTGTTTTTAATAATGAACTTTTATGGAAAAAGACGTAGCAAATAGAGTGTTTATAAATGATTAATTGCTATTATTGTTGTTATATTTGATGTTATAATTATTGCTACCATAATTTATTTTCATTCTCTGAGCTTTCGTCAAAGACACATGGAAACTGTCATGATTTTAATTTCATGGTTATTACGTAAAGAAAAACACTGACCTGTCTTAGATAAAAAAAAAGTCCCTGAGCTGTACATTTTTATCATTTTTTTCATCTCACAAAAGTAAAGAAAATAAAGTTTAATACTGAAGTTAAATCTGTCACTGCCTCTTCAGTTCAGTCTGTCTCTGTCATTCTTATATACATACACAAAGATACAGCATTAGACAAAACGGTTTGTTTAATCATGAGTGCTTGATTATTGAAGTCATAATTGATATCAGATGTATTAAGAGAAGCTCTGTGATCCCTTAAGTGTGGAAATGCTTTGGTCAGCTTCCTCCTTTATCTGTGAAGGTGCATTGTTAAGAGAAGGCTTCTCTGTGGAGCTGAGGCCCCAGGCTGGACCACTGTGCCCAGACACCAGGCTTCAATGAGGGGCTCCCAAGTCACACACAGTCATACATATGCACATACCGACGTGCATACATAAGGGAAAACAAACAAACAAACACAAACCCTAATTCACACCCTTATTTAACCAAATAACCCATGCAAGTTCACTTATTTGTCTCTCAACCATTTTATTCTGAATACTTATGAGACACATACTAAGTCATGAGTACAGTTCAGTGGGAACTGTTCTCGCTCCCTGTTGTCTGTCGGACTGGCCCTTTCTCTTGGTCGCAGTGATTGGAGTGAGAGGAAGGACAGCGGGTCTTTAGTGGGAGAGAGAAGAGGAAGGAAAGGCAATCAGGCGACCTGAGCAAACACGTGGGGGTCTGCTCAGAGCCTTTGCACACAGATGTGCATGCAGCTGAGGCTGCCAGGAAGCAGGCGTTGACTGTTTCACCCTCATCTCATCCTCTTTTTTTATTCTCTTTGTTTTGTGTGTCTTTTTTCACACTCCCTCTTTCTGCTTGCCCCACTTACTCTGTTTTTGATTCTCCTTCCCTCTCTGTGTCAGTCGTTCTGTCTTTCCCTCTCATTTGGACGATTACAGTAAAATAACAGCACTGCAGAAACTTTGAACAGAGCCAGCCTCTAATGAGTCTGCTCGATTAGGGCCAATTTGGGGTCATGATCATTGAGTTCACTATGCCCTCACACACTCACAGCACAAACCATTCGATTAAACGGTCCAAGCTAAAAGTGGACTACTACCCCTCCCTGAACCCTCCACCCTGGACACATCTGCTGGACTGCTGTGGAGGTTGATCTGCTGGGGTTTCCCAGAGGCTTGATCAGTTCAAATGGGAAATAATGTATATCAAGAGATTTATATATGTGCTGTTTTGTTATCCACTGTGGTTGGAGCACTCTGTAGTTAGTTACATCATAGCACCAACAACACTGACTGGTTATACACATATGGATGGATACAGGACTGGAGAACTGCAACAGAGTTTTCAGACAGAGGGTGGGACACCCCAGTTCACTTGCTGAACACCAGTGAAAGTGTAATGCCTGCCTGCCAATGAGCAGTCTAGCCATCTGTGAGTAGCCTGGTGCTGTGGGTGCTGGGCCATGTATCGGCCACAGCACCAGCGAGTTGTGTGCTGCTGCTGCAGCAGCCAGTGAGGCTGCTTGGCCGGGCTTGGCTGGACTCCCGGAGCCTGAGAGGGGGACACGGAGAGAGCCAGAACTCTTCAGTGAGGCCCTCCAGAGGGAAGGAACAGCCCTCCCAAAAATAATACAGCAATCTGCCAGCCCAGTGAGTCCCAAAGTTGCCCTTGCTTGAACACAGACATGGTTATGCATATATACATACACAGAAGGATGGTGTGTGACAAAGCTTCTCATGTCTGATGCAGAGGCCACATTGAACTCTTAGGCCTGAAAAGACATTAGGTAGCACATGACATTCAGTCTTGCTCTTGAAATGAATATTTGGCTAAGTGTTGTGGTATTCAGCATGTGCCACTGTTGCTCTATTTTCTACTCCATTAAAGTCACACAGACAGTAATGTGAGGGCTTTGTTTTTTTTTTTACTCACCAAGCCTCACTAGGCCAACAGCTCCACTGAACAGGATGTGTCCTCCTAACTCACATCATGATTTATGTGACACAAAAAGAGCCATAAAATAGGATGTTACTTATCTTCACTTTCCAAGTGTTCCACAGAGGAGATGAAGAGCAGAGATCTTGGATAAGTTGGCGGGGTGAACATGGTGGCCACCTAGATCAGAGCACAGAGAGGTTTACGACTTCAACCTGGAACTGGATGTTTCAACTCATCCCGACTCCCTACCTCCTTCTCCCTCTCCCCTCCACTCTTCCGTTTGTCCTCCCTCACCATCTCCACCTCCACTGCTCATTCCCTCTCTGAGCCCCATGTAACTCTCCATCTCTTAATTTTCCCCCTCTCAGCCACCCCAAACTACTCCCACTCTTTTCTTGTCTCCCACTCCCCCAGTGTATTTGTTTTTCCATCAAATTGAGTTAGCAAAATCAAAAGGTATCCCGACCATCCCCTCACAAAGTTGAGTTAGAGAGAGAGACGTAGAAGATGAAAGGAAGGGGAGTGCAGTTCAGATGCAGGTCTTTTAGTGTGTGTTTGGAGTGGGGGTTGACCTTTGTCTGGGCCTAACTAAAAAAGCATCACTCCTTCCTCAGACCCCTAGAAGGATATTAAGGCTGCAAGATGGGGTAGTATTTAGATCAGACAAACACAGAACATGTATTTGCCATAAAGTTCCCAAAGTAAGAAGTTTGCTTGTTGATCTTGAACAAAAAGAGAAGTTATGCTTTGCTATGATGAAGCATAAACTAAGCTCTTAACTGTTTGAAAAATAACAGCTACCAAGTCATAGTGAATGTACTGTGAAGAGACCCACATGTGAACTTCCTCTTTTTACGGTTCAAGACAAATTCATAGAAATAACCCACTGGCCAAGCCTGACAGGAAAAAGGTGGGTAAGTTCAGTAAAACACCTGATGAACATATTTTATGGAAGCCACCATTTGACACTTGAATAACTTTTAACACTTCTAAAATTAACCATACCACATAGTGAGGATGTGATCAGCAAAGACTTGATAGTAATAACTGTCAGCCAGAAAGAAGCAGAGCTGACAGCAGATAATCATTGATGACCTCTGTTGACAGGAAACAACCGCATCCTGACCTGCCAGAACATCAGATCTCACTGATCATCTCTCCAAATGTCAGAAATTAGTGAGGAAAAAGTCAAAATGTTTTGATCTTGCATCATTTTTTATCCTCCATGACCTCTACTGTCTATCACATCTTGTTTTCTTCTTCACCAGGCCCAACAGTGAAAGGTTGCTAGCTAGTTACAGCTGCATACCAAGCATGGCTTTTTAAAGTAGCAAACAAAACAAAACAAAACAGGAAGTGAGAACTTCAAACAGGAAATACTTATGTCGTACTATTAGGAATAATTATAGCCATAGCAGTCTGACAGAAACAGTAAAGAGAGACTGATTACAGAGGGTACTAGGGTTGTATAGTATTTAGGTAGGTGTAATTCTCTGCAAGATTTCACCATGCCCATGTATGCAGTAGAAGCACATTGTGCTAAATTCAGCTTATCTCTGGTTTATGTTATATCTTAAATTATCTGAGCTATTAAACATTGTTCCTCACAGACTATGCTAGGACACAAAAGCTAACAATTTGACAGAACCTTGAGGATTTACTGTCCACTCAGTTAGCAGTGTATTCGGTACACCCTGCTACAACTAAGTAAGTCTAATAAAAGAGCCATGCAATAAATCCTCCTTTTTGTTTAGAGAGGTGTTGATTCAAATGTATGTTTATACTGGAACATGCTGTGGTGCTGTTGAATTGTAATGCATTAAACTCACAGGTGTTTTTATCATTAAAAACTGAAAATTAGCGCCTTTGTGAAGGAGGATTTACTTAGATTTACTTAGGTATGCCTAATAAACTGCCATCTGAGTGTATTTTTAAGTATACTAGAAATGCACAGTGTAAAATCTTCTATAATAGTTGTGTATTTTGGACCTGGATTGTGCTAAGGCGTATTTAACATCTAATAGTGAAATTTAAAAAGACAATGTGATTGTCTAAAAAAATGAGAATACATGTCAACAAACAGTTTACTCTCACAAAGATTCTCAGTTTTTTAAAAACAGCATTTATTGTATAATTTGTTAATATGAAAGTAGAGAAGTGAAGATGAAAGAAACATGTGGCGTGTTTCATATTCTTCATCTGTGGGACCTTATTACCAGAGTTCGTGGTTTTAAAAAGGTTTCTGAGTAGAGTGCACTAATAAAGAGAGGAGTGAGTAGTGCATAGAGTTACAGGTTTCTGTGGCTGCTATGTTGTATTCCCCAGTGATTATTCTCTTTCTAACTTGATATCCACTTGCCTCACTCTGCTGAAGAGGATGTTGCTGCCATGCTAATGTGTCTGGGTTCTTCTGTTAGCTTGCAATCCCTGCTGAAATGTGACAGATATGTAACCCTGGCCCTCTTCAGCTCCCCTAATCACATGAAATTTCTGCAGTTTAAATTAAAATATTTATGACTTAGCTTCAGTCATTTGACTGGTTTTATATTCTGCCCAGTTCACAAATCCTTCTGTGGAATCGGAGTGTAAAAAACAAAAGTGCCACAAAGTAGCAGCTAGAGGTAGGGTATGGACATGCAGAGCACCCCTCCCTTGATTCACCCTGAAAATGAGGTCAGTCTCCTCTCGCCTGGGACAGGGAGCATTCAGGATGCTCACCTGGGACAGGTAGTGTTCCGGTCTCATTCATTCTGCCATGCTGAGGCCCTCCTGCTCACCTGTTATGAGAGACAAATTCATCCCCACTGTCTAAGGACAAATGAGCCCATTCATCTGGAGGCTCCCATTGACAACCTAGGGGGCATATACAGTACTAATACCAAGGAAGGCTCAGGGGAGTGGGTGTCTGGACCTGCCATCCTCTTCCACACCCACATAATGCCCCTCGCTATTCCCAGCCCCGCCCCGCTCCAATCGCTTTTACTGGCAGGTAACTGGAGAAAGGCATGAGTGGGAGAGTGGAGAGCACCTTGGCCTTTGGCCAGTATAAGATGATGAGACCCAGGTGCCTACCCCTGGAT